ATATAACCCTCACACATGTTGGAATGGGTAGTTTTCAAAAGACAAGAAATAACAAGTGTTGGTGAGGAAGCGGAGAAAAGGGAACCCTCATGCGCTATTGGTAGGAATGTAAGTTGGTGCAGCCACTGTGGAAAACAGTGGGGAGACGCCTCAAAAAATTAAAAATAAAACTCCTATATAATCCAGCAATTCCCTTCCAAGGAATTTCATTTTCTGAAGAAAATGAAAACACTAACTCAAAAAGATATATGCACTGGGGTGCCTGGCTGGCTCAGTCGTGAAGCATGTGACTCTTGACCTCAGGGTTTTGAGTTCAAGCTCCACACTGTGTGCAAAGCCTACTTTAAAAAAATTTTTTTAATTAAATTTTAAAAAATAAATTAAAAAGATACATACACCCACGTATTCACTATAGCATTCTTTACAATATCAAGATATACAAACAACCTAAGTATCCATTGGTAGATGAGTGAATAAAGAAAATGTGGTGTACACACACACACACATGCACGCACACACACAGTGGAATATTATTTAGCCATAAAAGAGGAAATCTTGCCATTTGCCACAACATGGAACATGGATGGGCCAAAAGGGCATTATGCTAAATGAAGTGAGACAGAAAGACAAATGTGTGATCTCACTTACGTGTGGAATCCAAAACGAGGTAAAGAAAAAAACCGAGCTCAAAGATACAGAGAACAGATTGGTGGTTGCCAGGGGCATGGGATGGGAGTGGACAAAATGGGCAATGGGAGTCAAAAGGTGCAAACTCCCAGTTATAAAATAGATAAGTCAGGGTGACACTATGTCCAGCGTGGCAAATACAGTTAAAACTGCATGTGGAAAAGTTGATGAAACGAAATCTCATCACAAGAAAAATAACCACGTATGCTGACAATATCAACTCTTACTATGGTGATCATTTTGCAATACAGTTGACCCTTGAACAACTCGGGGATTAGCGGGGCCTACCCCCATGCAGTCAAACATCCATGTATAACTCTGACCACCCCAAAACAACTACTAATAGCCTACTATCAACCAGAAACCTTACTGATAACATGGTAGTCATTTATTTACTACGTATCGTGTAAGTTGTATTATTTACCGTATTCTTACAAAGCTAGAGAAAAGAAAATATTAAGAAAATCATAAGGGAAAATACATTTGCAGTATTATACCGCATTTACCCAAAAAGTCCATGTGCAAGCGGACCCATGCAGTTCAAACTCATCTTTTTCAACAGTCAATTGTTCATACAAATATGGAATCAGTAAGCTGTATACCTGAACCTGATACAATGTTATATGTCAATTATCCCTCAAAAAAAAAAAAAAAGTCTCGTTCTCCATCTCTCCATTTTGTTTTTTTCTGAGTTGGCTCTCAGGCAGTCAGTTGACCCTGAGTGGCAAAGACTGCCACCAGAAACTCCAGGCTTTCATTGTATCACCCTAGAAACCCAACAGAAAGAAAAAATATTAGGTTGAAATACATGAAATTACCACTGATGTAGGTCAAAAACGGTTGACTAACAGCAATTTCCTATGTTTCAACCTAAGAGTTCCAGAGCCCCCAAGGCCTAAAGTTCGTTGGCTCAGCTTCAATGTCATGCCCACTATTATCCAATCACTGTGGCCACTAGAATAGACCACTCTTTTTGACCATGTCCAGGACATATGCCCATTCATGAGCCATGTCATAAGGAATGAGGTAAGACTGATTCGTCAAAGAAAACGTAAGGTGCTATTATCAGAAAAGGGGGAATAAAAACAGAGGAGGCCCATCAGATGCCCACTATGCATAAAATAGACATGAAATGTGTCCATTTACCATGAAGGTAATGAACACTCACTTTGGCAAACCTCACCCGTGCAGGCTTTTCCAAAACCATGTGTCTAGTTTTGTACTTACATTTTTCAATTCTTTTCATTTTTTTTCTTAGAAGTGAGTTTTATTCGCACGCTGACCAAAGCACAGATCCCACATACAGATTTCTCATCTGCACGATGGCACAGCAACCTGTGCAAAATATGCTTTATTTCACATACAAAACAACGTGGCAGGATTCTTTTTCTTTAGAAGGGGGCCTCCAAATTATATAAGCTTTAGAACCAACAGAACGTGGAAGTGCAACTAGTGAAAATACTCAAACATATTTTTGAAACTAGTATGTATTCCCAGTAGATTGTACTTCCTTCAGCTTTTAGTGTAAATAAAGCATTTAGTAGGTAGTTTACTCACTAAATTCTTCTCAATAACTCAATCTCTGTTGACACTAACAGGAAATAACCTGATCATCCCCTTCAAATCTCCCCAACTTCTCAGAGCTCAGCATCTTCATGAATATTTCTTCGCCTATGTCATAGACCAACACAAATAAGGTCCTTTTTCATTTTTGCCCCACCCTGAACTTCACTCCCAGATGAAACCTGCCTCCCAGGACCTCCGTTCATGAGAGGTCAGCCCCATTTGAAAGGGGAGTCTCTGGGTCTCGCTGTGGTTTCTTATAGCACCAACCTGAAGAAACTTAACAGACACTCATATTCACTCCAAACTAACATTTATTTTTAAAAATTGCAAATCAAAATGAGTTCTCTGAAATTATGAAATAGAGAATGTGAAGTGTAAGGCGGATCTTATACCGGAGTGAATCTAGGATAGGAGATGGGGTCAAAGCAAATACACCTACAGAGGACCCCCTACAGGGCTGTGCCAAAATGGGTCTGGACAACCAGAAAATGTGCCTTTGTTTTTGGGATTTCCAACTGCACTTTACCCTTCTATTTGGCAGTCAGACAGCCCCAAGAATGTAAATTCATGCTGTTCTGAGTGTGGGGGAAGGTGAGGAAACTAAGCCTGCTTGCTGCTATTCTGATGGCAGCATTTGTCCCTGGGAGAGACGGCTCTGGCACCGATGTTACTTTTCTCCCCTCTCAGGAAAATGGCTCGGGCTGTGTATCGGGGAAGCCAACGGGCACCTACAATTTCCGCTTAATCCCCCAGCAGGTTTCCAAACCTGTAGTCCTTCAGATGTGGCATTGAGTTTGAACCCATTTTTCCCCTCCCCCCACCTCCTCCAAGAATTATGGCTAGAAACCAGGCAGCACGATTATGTTGCCTTTTTTCTTTTAATTTGTTGAAATTGTCTCTAGGCAGAAGAAGGGGGGAGTTGAAACCAGATGGTTGTAGTTGGAGTAGAAGCCTACTACTGAGGAGCTTTGAGATGCTCAAATCTGGTGGCGGCCACTGTTGCCCCGCAGAGAAAGGGATGAGATAACAGACTGGCGGCAAAAGATTCCCAGAAGACTGACTGCCAGTGTCCTGTTTTCTTTATCCTCTGACCACACACATGTAAAACGAGGTCTCCTTTCCTTTAATTCTCCAAAGCACTACCAACCTTGGGTTAAAGCAGACTTTAACTCTTGCGGAGGTGGGGAGGATTAGTTACTTGTTACGAAAGGAGTTTGTATCACCGGGACTTAAACAGTTTATAAATGAGTATTATCCATTCTTCTTAAGGCCCCTTAGCCTGCCTGTATCTTCTTCGTCAGCATCCCTCTACCACTCACCAAATGCTAGCAAATCTCACTGAATCACCTGATGTGTTCCTCAACTTCTCCCTACACACAGGAAACACAGGGAAAATTGAGACTGAGGAAAGAGGAATAGTCAGAGAGCTGGGTAAGAGTGAACTTCTTTTATCTCCCAATTTTTGGGCAGACTCTGCTAACAGAATAGCTCCCCACCCTGGTCTCCAAGTCATCCGAGCATCTGGAGGGAGGTCAACCTGGGGGCTAATGCCACCTCCTTCCCACTCTTGGGGAATACTGATTCTCAATCTTTTGTCAAATACTAGGCAAACACAACTGAATATCCATTCAGATGTCCACCTGTTAGGGTTTGTTGTTCCCCCAACAGATGGGGTCTCCTTCACCACTACTTCTTCAACTCTCCAGCACCAACTGGGTGTTCTACAATTCCTCTCCATCCTGCCACTAACTGCCTGGAGTTAGCATCAGACTCCATGGTTTAAGGGCTCTGTCCCACAAGAATGCCCACACTTCAGAGACCAATCACAAGTATCAAGTCCCCGGATTGCATCTGACACCCATTCAGGGGTTCCCACAAACCCCCCTCAGACTGCATAATTTGTTGGGGTGACTCAGAGAACTTGGGAAAGGGCTTTAGTTACCAGTTTACTATAAAGAATGTGATGAAGGAAGAGGGCAAGGTATGGGAGGGGGGATGCGGAGCTTGCCACCTTCCCAGCCCCTCCACACCTTCAACAACCCGGAAGCCCCCCGAATCCCACTATGTAGTGGTTTTTATGGAGGTTTCATGATGTAGATATGATTGATAAAGTTACTGGCTATTCATGATTCATCAATCTCTAGCCCTTCTCTTCAGGGAAGTTGGAGGTGGGACTGAGAGTTCCAAACCTCTAACCAATTCTTAGTCTTCCTGGTGACAAAAGACTCTTATCACCCTTATCACTCAGGAAATTCCAAGGGTTTTAGGAGCTCTGTGACAGGAACTGGGCACAAAGACCAAGCATCTTTCTTACCCGACTCCATTACGTTTACCTGTCTTGTTAAAAAAAAGAAAGAAAAAGAAAATCCTAGAGACACCCTCCTTAAGGGGTTAGTCTTCCTATTTCTGACTATCCCGCTGTGTGTACGCTCCATATCCCCTTAAGAGAGTGACCAGGAATGTCTGATTTGCTCTTCATGAGGCTTTTGGACACATAATTATTTCCCCTGTGGTAGACCTCTTTATCTGTCCCCTCCAAATAAATCATTCATGAGAACAAACATTAGACCAGAATGCCAACTCCACCTCTTTTCTTCCCACAAGAATCTTAGGATGTCAGTGGTAAAAGCGGACTTAAATGGCCCAGCAACTCACTCCCACCCCCACCCCCTTTATGCAGACATCCCCTCCACTTCCCTGGGCCAGCTCCACCAGCCTCTGGCTCACTGATGTTCCATAAAGGAGAACTGGTCGTTCTGAATGTCCAAGGAAGGGAGGCCTGGTGGCTCTTACTTGTGGCGTCTCTCACAGGAAAAAGTCACACTCTGGAACAGGAGACCGGGAACTTTACTGGTGAAAACGGAAGGAGGACCAATTTGACAGGGCTTCCCCGGCTCTCTTCCCCGTTCTGCCTTACCGCCTGCTAGTCCCGCTCCCTGTATGCCCAACAAAGACAAAAACAAAACAAAACAAAAACACAACTACAGCAACAACACACTCAGGGAAACAAAGCTTTCCTTTTAGGTCATCAAGACATTTTCCTCTTGAATCAAAAACCTCGCTTGCTCCTAGGTTTGGGCTTTGATTATCTGTGGCCCCCAGATGGTCTCAGATGGTGAGGGCCTTCAACGCACACAGGTTGATTTGAAATCCATGTTTAGGTCCCAGCATGTGGCAATGTGCTCCACTCTGATGACACTTTTCGTTTCTAAGAATAGCGCAGATGAAGTAATATTGCAACTGACGTTCCCGGGGATTTGATTGGGTAAGTGCATAAACTGTGGAGGGAGAAGGTGGGGGGGGGGGGGTTCTCTGGACGGATCACATTAGTATTCCCGTCCTATCAATGTGCGGGGCAGCGCACCACGTCAGGCGGACAGATTGCCTGCGTCTGCCAGTCCCGCCACGGATTCATTTGGGATCCTCAAACAGATGAGCCCGTAGAGACGGGGGATCAAGGCAGCCTATTAGAGCCGATTGCCTGCTTCGGGGACTGCCAGCCTTCCAGGCCTGGCGACGGGGGAGGGAGGGGAAAGACGACGGAGCGCCGCTGCGGGAAGACACTGAGGCGAGAGCTAGACTCATACCCGCCCCCCCCCCCAACTCCCACCTTACAGCGCAGGCTTTGAAAGCTGCTCCCCCATCTGAATGGAAACTCAGAACCGCCTGGCGGCGTGTTCCTTCTCGCCCAGCGCTGCAATCCATGCCGAGGGGAAGGTAGTGCGAGCCCGCGCCAGCGCCCAGCTCCCGGGACAGGGCCGGCAATGCTGCTGAGCAGAACTTGACCGAGCCCCTTCCTCGCTGCTCAGTGGAAGCGATGCTGCAGCGCACAGCCAGCGCTTCCCCGGCTCTCCTTCAAGCTGAAGGTTACCCACCCGCGCAGCCAGCCCCAACCCTGTGAGCGCCGCGCCTCGATTCCCGGCTCCGGCTGCTTGGCGGCGCGCAGGGCAACGACCGGGCCGCCCGCGCCGGGGCGCACTGCACCAGCGGCTTCGGCTTGGTGGATGTGTATGCATGAGTTCTGCACCGAATGGGCGCAAAAAGCGCCCCAGCCGGTCCACCCGCTCCTCGATCTTCCAGATCAGCAAGCCCCCGCTGCAGAGCGGGGATTGGGAGCGCAGGGGCAGCAACTCCGAGAGCGCCCACAAAACCCAACGAGCCCTGGACGACTGCAAGATGGTAGGTGAAAACTGTACCTTTTCTTTTTTTTTTTTTTTTTTTTTCCTTTTTGGAGAGGAGGTGGGGGCATCTTGTATGTTAGTCGTTTGCTTGACTGCCAGCCACTCCCCCACCCTCAGCTGCTCCATGCCGATCACGTGCACATGCACTATTTTTAAATCTGCAGTCCCCAGATTCGGGGTGACACCTGGGTCGTAATGTCCCCGCAAAGAAGTGCCACGGCAAGGGTCTTAGGGTCAGCGGCTGTAAGTCATGCCTCTACCCCCTCAGAGAACGGTGGATGCAAAAGACACGGTGAAGTGGCTTGCTCACCAGGGAGGGAGGGGATGGGAAGGTGGGGGTGCTGCTTTGTGGGGAGACAGCAGCAAATAAACCCAAACAGAGCACACGGGGCGCTGCAGAGGGGACGAAGGTTCCAGCGCAGAGGCTGTGGCCGGTCTTCCCGTCAGGCTCCTGAGCCAGTCTCTGGTTCAGTGGCCTGGCAGGAGGTGAACAGTTTCCCTCTCGCAACCTATCTTTGGCCTTTATCCCCACGCAACTTAAAATCCTTATCTTAGCTGTAGTACAGGGGAGCATTATATGTGAGAGTTCCCAACAGCAAGCTCTAGTGACCTGGGAGTGGCATATGCTCTTGCTCTTCAGAAACTGAGTCTAAGGGAGGAGGGGGGATGGTAGAGAGGGAGGGAGTAGGTCTGGAAATAGAGCTTCCACCACCGGACTTCCCGATGAAAATAAACACTTGCCTTGGACAAGGAGAAACTTACCATCTTTGTGCCTTGATCTTTAAGCAGTCTGTAGGCACCTTAGCTGGAACTTGTGGAGTTGGCTGAGGGGTCACTGAAAACCCATGTTTGTATACACCCAGATAGGAAACGTTGGTGAAGGCAATTCAATTCTTTTTCAGCTTGTCCAAGAGTTCAACACGCAAGTGGCCCTGTACCGAGAGCTGGTCATTTCTATCGGGGACGTCTCCGTCAGTTGCCCCTCACTCCGGGAGGAAATGCACAAGACAAGAACCAAAGGCTGTGAAATGGCTCGTCAGGCACACCAAAAACTTGCTGCCATCTCGGGGTAGGAGATTCTTGGCATTATTTGGTCATTCATATACATGATGCATGGATGCTCACAGTTATTTATGGTGTTCAAGACTTCAGAAGTGATCTCTGCAAATATGGGGTCACCTGAGATCAGGATTCTTTTGAGAGCTATAGACAAACTAGGTGCCAAATTACAATCTGAAGGTTGTGTGATTCTTGAATATACATATATTCAAGACTTGGGTCATTAAGTGATTGAAAAAAAAAATTAACTTGCACTATGCTGTCCACATATCGGGACTCGGGGCTTCAGAATTTTTTTGCAGAATGTTTGGCCGTCAAAATGAAGTTAAGTCATCACCCCTCGAGATTATTTGTCATCAGCTGCTGAACATCTACTGCACGAAAGGCCAGTTCAGTAGAGAGAAAATCTTTGCTAAATCCTAGATTTACTAAACTATTTATACCATGAGATAAATTCCTTGATACCATTTAAAATAAAATCCCTAAAATAAAGTCTTGGATATAAATTACTCTCCTCAGTGTAGTGTATGAAAGGAAAGTTTTAACGGACGAAAATTTTGGTGAAGACTGTGGAGATTCACAAATCCATCTAAATCTAGGCTGTTCATGTGCCCTTCCCCATTATTTTTATTTCTTTTTATCACCCTTATGGATCCCCAGTCCTATTTTAGGTCCTATTTAGTCCTATTTAGTCCTAATACAGTGAGCGAAACTTCACTTCTGAGACCTCATCTATTTCCTGATCTCTCCATATCAGGAAAGAAGTTAGTCATGGATTTTGTCAAGTTACTATACTCAAATAAGAACATAGAGCAAGGAAACACAGGAATCCTTATAGAAACACATTAAGTGTTTGATTCCGTCTGGATAAAGCCTTTCTCTGTTTATCTGTGTATGTCTGTATCATAATCGAAGCTCAAGTCTATTAGACTAACCTGATAATATTGCAGATTGACCATGTGTAGGAATTATATCTAATTTATTCACCTGAATCACTCTTTGCCATCTTTAATGCCAATAATATGTACAAAGCCGGTAATATGTATAATGCCGGTAATATGTACAGTGACTATTGGTATATATAGATTAGAAAGCCCTGTGTTGCCTTTCTCAGTAACTGCATTTAACAAGTGGCATTTGATAACATCAGAAAAGATGCACTATCTAATGTCCTTGAAATGAGACGTAAAGTATATTACAAACCCATTTCATTTGGTAGAAATATTTAGAAGCCTCATCCTTTTCTGTTTTAACTGTTACACTGTGCCTAACAGGATGTGAATCTGGCATTTCATCTAGAAGGTGGAAAGGGATTCAGTGTTTAAGGAATTGGGGGAAGAAATGCAGCCGTGATAAACCCCAGACAAGAAGGGAGGTAAAACAACTAGAAACACAAAGGAGAATAGTGGTGGAATAAAAACTGGAGAGAAACAATGATTCAGAAGGGGAAACAGATTTACAACAGGAAATGTTATGCCCAGAGCAAAAGAATAGCATCTTTGTCAACTTGTGTCCAAGACTGTATGATGGGGTTATATTCAGGACTCCTCGAAGGTGAAACTCAAGTTGATGACATGTTCTAATCACAGAAGATAGACTGGAGAAAGAAACAAGGAGTTCAATTTAGTCTGTGCTGCTACACACATGCAATTCAGGTCCTTCCAAAGTTTCAGGAAAGGAGTCTGAAACTACTGGCTCCAAGTTGAGTTTTGAGGATTTGAGATGGATTTTATATACTCAGGGGTTGGCAGCGCCTTGCTACTTACTTTTATGTTACCCGAGAGTGGATTTTATTGGGAGCAGTTTTGTAAGACTTAGTGGGAAAATACGTTGTTCTTAGAGCCTTGCAAAGGTAAGGCCAACTCTATACAATGTTCTAGGATGGAACCTGAAACATTTCCTCCTTAAAATAATGAATACAATTTAACCTTCTTTCTAAAAAAATGACAGCATTATAACGAAGGAAATCCCTTTAGCTTCTTACCATGTGGGCTTCATTAATGAAGGATGTGATGATTTTCCTTGGTGGAATTCCATTCCTGACACTGCTACTTATGTTGGCTCTCATGTCAAGTTTGATGTGAAAGCCGGTAGGGAGACTGTAGCATTCACCTTAAAATCTGAAGCAGGGTTAAGAAAAGCAAAGGCTCCTGGGGAATGTAGAGACAAAAACTGGATTTCTTGAGCACCCATCACTTGCCAGCACAATCCAGTTAATTCACAGAATAGTCCTCTGAGGGAAAGATGATTATTAGCCTTATTTTTACAAATGAGTCTCAGAAAGGTTAAGGAACTTGCCCAAAGTTACACAACTAAGAAGTGGAATGACTGTGATTTGGCCCCACGTTGCATACTTCTGAAATCCATGATCTTTCCTCTACATAATTCTGCCATTTAAAGAAGTATTATGTAAAAAGGAATGAAATACGAAAACATGCTAACATATGGATGAATCACAAGAAGAGTATGCTAAATCAAAGACACCAGTCACCAAATGCCACATATTATATGATTCCTTTTACATGAAATCCTCAGAAAAAGCACATCTATTCACATCAGAAAGTAGATTAGTGGTTGCCTAGATCTGGGAGTGGAAACAGCGAGTCCCTGCAAGTGAGCTTGAGGTAATTTTTTGGGGTGATGGAAGTGTTCCAAAATTGAACTGTGGTGATGATTGTACAACTATATAGCTACTAAAAATCACTGAATTGCACATTCAAAATGAGTGAAGTTTATTATGTATAAAATATAGCTCAATAAGTGTCTTGTAAAAAGGTATGATCACTATCACCATGAATAATAACACCTGGCCTTATTCTTTCCTACATACACAGCTTTTAGTGAAAGGGGTAGGAACTACAGGGATGGGGAAACAGAAAACTTGGCTCTCCATGCATTCATCAAGATGCGGCCCGATGCTATCACCTAAACTCCAATGCTTTGCTCTAAGTAGGAACATAGGTGGGGCAAAAGCAAGACCTGAAGGAGTAAATGAAATGACTTATTTCTTAACCAGCACGGAACCACCACTCCTTTGCTGTTTATCACCTGGCTTTGGGGCCAGAGAAGGGAGACTAGGTTGAAGGTAGACAGGGTAAAAAAAGGATGAAGCGAGATAAACAAAAAAGAGGAGAAAAGCCAATGAGTTGGGATTAAGCCACAGATGCTTAGACCCCCTTCATCCCTAAATGACTCCCTCAAGGAAGGGTGACCACAGACTGTGTTTCTCACTAGCTGGCCCTGGGTAAGAAGGCCATCATCACAGACGTCATCACGCCACCTTCTCAAACTGTGTCTAGACCAGCGAAGGTTGCAGTGCCTCCTTCTCTTTCAAAGGCAACAGATGTCTTCTGGACAGAGCCAGCCAGGTGAATCCCCAGTCTCTCCTGCCTGGTTTGAGTGACCAGTTGCTGTCCCTTTACGGTGCTGATCCTCTCGTTGGTGTTAAAGCTAAGAGAGGCCTCAGGGATCACTTGCTAGAATGGTCCCCAAACTTGTTTTAGCAGCAGAAGCTTCCTTCCATCTTAATGTGGAAAGTCAGATTTAGAAGGCAGGTTGAAAGTAGCATTGCTGTGCCCTGCACGGTGTGTGTGTGTGTGTGTGTGTGTGTGTGTGTGCACGCACACACATCAGGGGCAGGTGGCTACCAGGGCCGGTGACCTGGGACGTCCTTCCCAAAATGACTTCTGAGACACCTTTGAAGAATCCCTAGGGCTTCAGGGCACAGAGTATAGATAGAGCACAATGTCCTTGTTTTGTATTTGAGGAGATTTAGATGAGTTCAAGCGACTTTAGAGGTAACTTGGGCAAGTATATGTGAAGACTTAGCATTTAGGCAGACCTGGGCGGAGAACCATCTTCTGTGACCTGGATGGAACTACTTCACTGTCTGAATCTCAGTTCCCTCCTCTGTCAACTCGTTGTCATGGTCCCCACGGGGTAGTTGAGAGGATCTGTGGGGCCAAGTACATGACTCCCCACCTCTAGAGGATACTCTGCCAGTCCAAGGCCGCTCTAAGCCCAGAACCCATGCCCATCGCTCCGTGGCCTGGCACCAGTTCCATCAAACACACCATGTCCTGAGAACCAAGAGAAAAGAGCACAGCGCGCCGGCTAGGACCGACCCAGAGGAGACAGTATCCTCCAGCAGACGCCGGAGACGATGGTGTGGCTGGCGGGCTGGGCGCTGGGATCCCGTTTCCTCCACAGCTGCTGGGCTGCTTGTGCCACCCCACATCTCCTTCACACCTCTGCCTTCTGGCGGCGGCTGCTGACAGAACGAACGGGAGGTTCAAGTATGCAGATGTGAGAGGCAAGATCGAGCGATGGGAAAGAGCTCTGACTCTAAATCAGATTAGACTGGGATAAAATCCCGGCTTTACCACTTGCTGGGAATCCGTGTGTATTGAGATGCATACTGCTTCGCAGTCAGACTTTGCCTGTGTTCAAATCTCAGCCCTGCCTTTTTTACAAATAGCGTAACCTTGGATGAAGGTAGATACTGTCCCTCCCTGCCTCGGTTTTCTCATCAGAAAACGGGGTTAATAGCTAATGACACTGAACCATACGGCATTATAAGGACTAAGTGAACATATGTCAAGCACTCAGAAGACGGACTAGCACACGGTTACACTATTACGAAATTCAGATTAGTGTTCGTATTCATAAGACATGCAAAATTCAGGATATCATGATACACCTATATGAAAAATAAATTTATCCATCCAGTATTTTTCAGATAAATACCTTGATTGAAATAAATGTTTATCTTAGTTCCTTATATTATGTTTGGAGGAATTTTCTAGGTTGAGGCTTCCCAGATGGTTATTAAAAGGTGTTTTTTTTTTTTTTTTTAGTTCCTTATATTATGTTTGGAGGAATTTTCTAGGTTGAGGCTTCCCAGATGGTTATTAAAAGGTGCTTTTTTTTTTTTTTTTTTTTGAGAGAGAGAGCCTGAGTAAGGGGAAGGGGCAGATGGAAAGAGAATCTCAAGCAGGCTTCACGCCCAAT